ATATTAATGGATTAATCCACTGATGACGTTAAAGCCCTCACGACTCAGTCATTTCCTAATAGCCCCACTTCTGAACATAACTGCATTGGGAACCAAATCTTCAATACATGAGCATTTGGGGGACATTCCAGATCCAAATCAAAACAGTCTCATTGCTGCTCTTGTTTCTCTCTAGAAAACCTGTTAACCACTGCCTTAAAAAACTCAGTCCATATCATATGTGATTTCCTCAGTGGTTTTCAAATTTTCACAACTAACTAGGAATTCTAACTCTTGCTTAAATGTTTATTCAAGGCCTAGAGGTAATGAACTGATCCTTTATAATCTAACAGATTTGTTAAATTGTAACAACAGATTTGTAAGAGTATATGGCTCACAGGGAGTAGATATTGAACAAATATTTTCATACTCTCAAGAAGAACATACACACCCAAAGGTGAATGAAAATGCAAATGTTTAAATCGTTCTTTCCCAAAAATGCAAAAGAATCTCTGTACTTTGGATTCAGCTAAGAGTAAATGCTATTACCCTAATCTGGAAGTCCTAAAGAAAGCCACCTGGGAAAAAAATAATTAAGAAAGATCAAAAACTACCTGGGAAATTAGTGAACAAGTTTTCCTTCTGAATAGGAAAGGCACCTAAGTGCCTTGAACAGCATAGAATTCACATGGGCAATTTTGCATTCTAAATTCCCCACAAAAAACAAGGGCACTACAGTTTAACAACTATTTCAAGTGTATGTATATGGTGAGGGGTACCACTTTCTTTGAACACGTGGCAATAACTAACATCCAAGAAATAAAATACACTTCCTAAATACATTTTTGGTATACTATGTTACAAAATATGTAGGAATCTTTTTTTAAAAAACTACAAGAGTGAATTGATGAATGAGGATTAATGTTTTTTACAAACTGTAAAAACACAAAATGTTCATTATTAAAAAGAACAGTACATCTACATTCTGAAATGTTTTAAGCAGACGGTAAATATCAAGAACAGTTGTAGATTAAAAAAATGAAAATATAAGCATAAGAACAGATGCATAGAATAAGAGAGTAAATATGATAGGAATGAGAAGAATCCATGTAGTATAATACATTATATTTCAAATAATAAGCCGATAAGAGCCATTTTATAGGCTCCAGAAAAATCTTGCCCCAAACTAGCTTCCCTTCAGGACTTCTCTGTATCTATCAATGATAGCAAATGCACCAATCAGACCAACTTGAAATCCTAAAAATATTAAATATACTCATGTTGCCCCAGTGTCCTCAGTCTATATGTACTGTTCTTTCTTCCATGAAGTGCCTCTAGAACTGTTTTATCATTTGCTCTGGCCGACCTGCCCAGTGTCTCCTCACTTCTGCATTAGTCATGTGTTCCTTCATTCATACCTGTGCCCACTCAGACACTTATCATGTACTTACTGAAGTATTATGCTGGTTCTTAAAAAAAGCTAATTGTTCTAACAGGAGATGGAGACACAGATAATGACTAATGCAATATTTCAAAAATAACACCATTTTATTAAGGCCCTAATACGTGTCAGCTATTCCTACACACTACTATCCCATTTAAGTCCCTATAAAAGTCTCAAAACATTAGTACAATTACCTTCTTCAAAGCAAGGAAATTAAGATACAAAGACATGAAGTAATTTTCCTAAATTCACTTTGATAATAAATTGCAAGGTGAGAGTCTACAGGAACTCTGACTCTTTCTACTACTTTGGTAATTACTGCATTAATTCCTCAATATCTTTCGAATCCACCTACCCAAATTCATCATCTCAAAGTACATTTGTACTTGTAATCCCTTGGCTCAAAAAATCTCTCAATATCTCCTTTTCTCTGACCTTCAGTCCGACTTTCAGTAAAAAAACAAGAACTGAATCCTGTCTCTTTTTTCCTTACTAGCTCTAAATCTTGTAAATCACTTAACTTCTCTAACTTTGTTTTCTTATCTATGAAATGAGGATAATAGATAATAAGAATGGGGTTGTACAAGGATTAAATTTAAAATATATGAAGAACTAACCACTTAAGTGTTCAATAAATAGAAGTCATCAATCATAACTTCTGCACCCAAAGTTGTTTTAGACAATGGACATATTGCTGCTCTTACAAAAAATCCATTTAGATTTCTGCCTCAATTTGTGTTTTTACCTCTGTTCCATTAAGAATAAGCATTCCAAAAAGTTATGGTAGTACACGCCTGTAATCCCATCTACTCAGGAGGCTGAGATAGAGGATCACAGGTTCCAGGTCAGCATCAGCAACTTAGTAAGGCCCTCAACAACTTAGTGAGACCCTGTCTCAAATTTTTTAAAAATTTTTAAAAAGAGCCTGGAGACTTAGCTCAGTGGTAAAGTACCCATGGGTCCAATTCCTGGAACCAAAAAATAAAAATGTAACTGAGTGGTAAAGTGTTCCTGGGTTCAGTCTCTAATAATTACAAAAAAAAAAAAATTTAAAGGCACTCTGAATATTTACTATATGAATCAATGTCTGTCCACATTTAACTTAAAGGCCCAAGTTAAACTCCTCTTCCTCCAAGAAGGCTTCCTGAGCTAACCAGTGAAATTCACTCCTACATGACTATTCAGGATGTATTATAAATTAGAAAATATGCAGTACATCACCAGTGTTATTTCATTTCATTCTTACAAGAAATATAAAAGTAACAAGCACAAAATCAAACAGATGGTAACTGAAATTCAAATCCAGATATCCTTGATCCCTTTTAAAAGCCCAGTTTCTCCCCACCATATCACCTTGCATCTTGGCACATAGGGATACACATTTAATCAACAACTGACCCACACTTACAAAGGGCATACTATTGCTTTATATTCTAAGTAGCTCTACCCACACAATACATATATAACTGAAACAAGTCTGTTATGAAATAATGCTTAACTTTAGTACCAGCAATGCACTCTAAAATTTTCTAATCTCTTCTATTTCATTTAAAGTAAAATGCTAGTAAGTACCCACTAATTTTACTTTACAACCACTGATAAGTAAAAACCCAAAGTTAAAACTACACTGTTTGAAATACACTGTAAAAGCTACAAAGCCACATGAGATGGAAAATTTATCCTCTAGAAATACTTAATCCAGTTGGAGATAATAGTAAAACACAACTCTTTTCCCAATTCCTACCCACCCACCATACCTTGCTAGAAAGGGAGGCTATATTCCAGTTTCTCTCCCGAACTTTCCTATTACAGAATATAATCAATAAATTGTCTAGGCTAAAAATATTTTTTAAAATTGCTTGTTGAATGAATGAATGAACAAACAAAGGAAAGTAAGTGCTGGATTTACAGGGGGGAGAAATTCCATAGCATAAACTCTCTTTCCACCTAGTTCACAATCTTCTGAGATCAGAAAGAGTCTTTTGTGTGTGGTGTGGGGATGGAACTCAGGGTCTTGCACATGCTAGGCAAATGTTCTATCATTAAGCTATATCCCTAGCCCAAGAATAATCATTTTGTACAGTTGTACATATCAAGAACTCAATGTTTATAGATGTTCCACTAAAAAAAAAAAAAAAAAAAAAAAAAATCTGGGGCTATGGGTATAGCTTAGCAGTAGAACACCTGTCTAGCATGAGCAAGCCCTGGGTTCAATCCCCAACACCAAAAGAAAAAAAAAAAAATTGGAACCATAAATTGGCCACAATTCATATGGAAAGGCAGATAAGCATGAATCTTTGCCAAAGAAAATCAAGAAAGAAATTTTCCACTCCTAATAAGTTTATTATTGGCCCATACTTACTATTCAAAGTGATCCCTCCAGTATCAACATTAGCTGGGAGCTCCTTAGAAATGCAGATTTCCTGGTCTCACCCAGATCTACTGACTAAGAGCCCCCATTTTAACATGATCCTTAGGGGATTCCTAATACATTAAAATTTGAGAAACACCAATCTACACCATAAAAATGAAACTGACTCCTTCAACTTCAGAGAAAGTCACCATCTTATCTTGTATTATCTCTGTAATACTAATCAGACTTTTCAAGTTATAATAAAAACAGAGCCGTGACACACTTTCAGGCACATTAGGGTATTCTGACTTCAGTGAGAAGTAAGAAATATTTGATCATCCATTTAATATTGAATAAAACTTTTAGGAAACTTACAAAAAAAATTTCTGCCTTCTTAGGACACAGACTCTACAGGCAAGAAAATGAGACAATAAACTTCAGTGGACACAGTAATAAATCTTTAATACCAGGATGAAGTTATTGAAGAAAAGATGCTGGTAACATTTAAGAACAAAACATCTTTAACAATTCTCAGTGTTATGTACACATATTTCCAAATATTCTCTATTAATTGCCCTATGTATAAAATTGTATAATAAAATGACCTAGATGACAAAAATCAAATCTCCTAAGCATCTTCACTGATTCAAACGCTAGACTTTTTAAATCATCACACAAAATCTCAAACAAGGAGTCTTTTTTGTGAACTTGCAAAAACACTTGCAAAACCCTCAAGTCACAATCCTGTCATCACAAACTGAGACAAGATCTGTGGCTACAGGGTCTTAAGGTGAAATATGCCCTCTTTCATTTAAAAAATATATATATATGAGGAAAGATTGCAGGCATTCTCATTGCCTCGCTGACCTACAAACACCTCTCCATCACAAGGCTAGAGAGGGAAAATAACGCAGGTCCCTGGATTCAGGATTTTAAATGTCCTACACTTAATCCTAAAAGTTGGGTGCCCATCTTCTTCCCAGCAACAGGCATTTCGGTGACAGCTCAACCTCTAATTCCCCTCCCCCTTCTCCCGCGTAGAAGTTGGGACCTCCGCCCGGTAGGACCTCCCCGCAGCCTTTCACCCACCCAAAGCTGTCAGACCTTTCCAAAAGAGAGACCAACAGCAGGCGAGTCCCCCAGCGCCCCTCAGGGACGCCGACTGAAACCCCGGCCCATCCTCCACACTAAACTCCATCTGGGGGAGAGGCTGGCGGGTCTCACCAAGTACAGGGGGGCATAGATCTTCAGGGACTCCTCCAGGGCGCCCCAAGTGACCTGCAGGAAGGAGACCCGGCAGGAAGGGTGCCAAGTGTGGCCGATCTCGTAGCAGTTATGAGGGATGGACTTGCTGAGGGCCGCCATGACGAGGAGAAGCGCGGAGGGGCCGGGAGGGGGACAGCTGGGGCTCGGGACCGAGCGGCACGGGCGTCCAACCGCCGCCCTCTCGCGGGGCTGGCAGCTAGAGGTGCGGAATGGAGGGTAAAGGTGACGCGAGCTGGGTTACTCTGGGCCAAAGTCCTCGGATGTTGGGCGATCGGCGTATAGCAGCTCGAGGGGGCGGGGCACGCACAGGGAAGGCGGGGAGAGGCGAAGCGTGCGCGCTCCCTGCGGCGGGCCTCCGCCAGGCCTCTGCCGGGGCGCGCTCTCGCTGCCGTGGCGTGCGCTGTCCCCGGAGCCCGGCGCTGGCCCGGGAGCGGGGGATGTGAGGGCCTTCCTCCAAGAGCGCGCGCTTCCTGTGCTGGGAGCGCTGTTGATAGACGCGCCAGGCCTCCCTACCCCCTCGCTGGAGTGTAGCCGCGCTGGCGGGAGCACCATAGTAGGTTAATTGATTAAATTGTACTCAGTCTCTGTCCTCTCAGAGCCCGGCCAAGTTACGCTGAGGGTAGTGGAACAAAGGGATTTCATGACTTTGTTGGGAGTTGGTAGAGAGATTTGCCAGAGGAACACTTGGGATAAACATCCTCTGCAAAACTGCCAGTTCCCTCCAGACAGTGCCAGGTAATAATTGCTAAGACTGCCTGCTGGACTTTCTAAATTCACAGGTCCATGGGAAGGCTTGAAAAATCTGTTTGCAATGTTCCTACACCTACCTGTGGGGAAAGGGCAGTAGGTCATCCTCTGCAAATCCTAAGCCACCAAGCAATCCTATCTACAGCATCTTTGATGGGTGCTTATCAATCAATAGTAGAGATGTGTTACAACTCATCTGGATAGACAGCCTGAAAAACAACGGATTGACATGACAAGGGACCTGTGTGGCCTAAGAGTCACATCAGTTTCCTCATCTGTAATAATTTCCAGTTTCTTTAGAATTCTAAATTCTACCGTTTCTTAAGCAGGAACTTACTACCTTTAGAGCAGTCCCTTCTAATCTAATCTTCATTCATTCTACAAATATTTCCTAAGCCTTTACTATTTCTAAACACTATTCCAAATCCTGGAGAGGCAGATGTAAACAAGATGAAACGTTTATTCTAGAGGAAGAAGTAAGACGATATGCAAGAAAACTAAACCAGATAAGATAAAATAAGTTGTTTGAAGGAAATAAAAGAGGAGAAATCAGATGAAAAGCCCCAAGTAATGGCAAAAAGATAAAAGTGTCTCTCTCAGGTAAACATAGGTGGTGCTGGGCTGAGATGGTGACTCCACAGCCATCAAGAGTCCCAAACTCTTTCCAACAAGTTGCTCTGCCAACTGTAACTTGTGATTTCCACCCTGACTTATAAAATGACCACATCACCTGGCATGACATCTAAATGCTAGCCAGAAAGATCAGAGAAAGGGGAAAAGACAAACTTCTTTTTAAGAAAATTCTCAGTATATCCAAACATCCCATGGCCAAAGTTTAGTAACATAACCACCTTCATTGGAAGAGATGCTAGGAAATTTAGTAGTTTTTATTGATGAAACAAATGCACAACTAACATTTTGGGGTTTGTTACTGAGCAAAATGGAGATATTCTGGCAACTAGCAGAGGCTGCCATAGTTCTATGGCTCCAATTACCCAAACATCTAAGCACATCATTCTTCTCACCAATAAGGATACTTTCCCTTCCCATGAGAGGCAGCCTTGAGAACCATGCAGTTATCACCTCCTCTTCAAAGTCCATGGTCTTCCTCAGGACCAGATGCAACAATACACCCAATATACAATGGCAGAATATGAACAAGATAATTCATTTATTTTAAAGATTTCCAATTCAAAAATTGAGAGGATTAAAAGCATACAGCATGAACTTGTCCTAGGAATTACAGGAATAGCAATGAAGTTTTATGTTACTTAACTTTGATAATCAGTTCAATAATGCATTTCTGAAAACCTGATGGTCCATAAGAAAATAATAAATAATATCCTACATTTAAATTAGAAGAAATAAAATGCATTACACATAATCTCCAAGACTCATGACAGGCATTTAAAGTAAAATATCAAATACAAGCAATGTTGGGATGTTCAGTACTATAAAAATAGCATTTTAGGTATAGGGATAGGGTCTCAATAGCAAAGAGCTTGCCTGAAGCCCTGGGTTCAATTCTCAGGACTGAAAATATGAATATAGCAAATATACACCAATAATTAAGGAAATTTTAAAATTATAATTAAAAGCAGGAGTTTTCTTTTAATAAAGTGTTAAATGGAGACTGGAAACTTAATCTGAAAACACCAGAATTATTGTTGTCAATGATGCCAAGGATGGCAGTGCTGATAAATTGAGTAGCAAAGAGTCAATTTCAGGAAAACTCTAAAGATCCTTCCCAGAGCAGGAAAATAGAGCAGTTTTCAGTAAACCAGGAGTTTACATCTGTGAATTTATTTTTATGATATATAATATAATATATAATATCAGGCTATTTTTCAAAAGAAAGACATCTCATCATGCCACCATTAAGTTTAAGGGTAACATTCAACATTAATCTACATAGCCCACTTATTCTTTAATACTGGCTATGACAGTGGATTCATTAGATACTGTCTTGGACCTTCATTGTTTCTTTTTTAAATTAAGAAAAAAAGTCTTAGAGTTCATCAACAAGGTGAATAAAGGGGTTTCTCCAAAGATGTACAGTGAGAGAAAGAAACAAATCTGTCAATGTGCGGTGGATTTGAAGTTTGAAGAGATGCTAAGCAAAAATTTGTTGCTCTTGTAATATTCTGGCTTTGAAGATATCATTGAAAAAGAATGAAGAGTTCTTAAGATCATAGGCAGAAGACTTCATAACACTGTATTTGTTCAGATCTACATGCAACCATTGTAGAAATTTGTACCAGTTACAAGCACAGTAAGAAACTATTACTCATACTTCAGTATAACACTTAATCCCACTAACATTCAACATATTCCCTTTGTTGAAAATAGACAAACTTTACAAAATAGCTACATATGAGACTCTTTTTGTTACAATATAACTTTAGGGTTTTTTCACACCTCATCTCATTTAAAACATTCTATTCAGTTTTTAAGATGTAAATATAAATGTTTATCACATAAACATAGAAAGCTGGTGTACTGAAAGATATGCCCTTCCAATCCAAACAGGCAGTACCTCTGCTGATACAATTCTCTTTAAAACTTAGGGACTTCTTATATATCAAACTATAATACACATCATTAGAAAGCAGCCACACCCATAAATCTCTGAGACATATATTTTCTATTTTTGGTTTAGAGCCAAGAATCTTATGAAAATGCCTTTGATATACTCAGAAAGCCTCTTGTGTGACTAAAGGTTCTAGGAAGAACAGTTTTAAATTTTTCAAGTCTTAACAAAGGGTCTTAGAGCTATATCCTGGATTTAAATTTGTCCTTAAAGTAATGCATTAATTTCAGAATCTTTTACAATGTAGAGGCTGGGAATAAAAATCAGTTATTTTTTAACCCAAAGATCCTAAATTCTTGATATTTTATCCAAATTATGCTTTAAAAGTGAATGGTTTCTTTTGTATCTCATTTCTCTATATTTAATCATACATAGTATTAAAAAATCAGTTGGCATTTTCAATATTGTACCTGGAAATTTCCTTAACCAAATGTGCCAGTTTCTTAGCTATGTTTTCTTTTCCACATTTCAGCAGGCAACAATGTTAGCAAACTTTTTTCTACTACATAACAAAGATCCCTTTTTCTCTAGCCTCTGATAATAATTTCTTCACTTCAAGCCTTCAAGGGTTGCACAAAATCATCTCAAATAATCTTATAAAATATTCAAGTATACTTCATAGAATTTTCAGTGTCTTTATTTGATGTTCTTGATTATTATTTTAGAGGAAAAAATTTAAAATCAAAATAGGTAAGAGGAGATGTATAAAAAGAGTGCCTCAGAAGCCAGCTACATCTGTCTAAAAAGTCAGACTTTTTCAATAACCTGTCTAAAGAAGAAAAGTGTGCTGAAGGAATTATAATCAAGAAAAAAAGAAGAAAGAAGGAGGAGGAGGAGGAGGAGGCGGGGGAGGAAGAAGAACCACTGGGACAATTCAGGCAAGACTTGGGAGTGAGAACTATCACCCAAGGACCTCCATATTCTAGACTTACTGACTATCACCATTATGTAACAGAGTTTTGGGCTTTCTTGGAAGGATGTCCTTTTTTTTTTTTTTTTTTTAAGTACTGGGGATTGAACCCAGGGGGAATTAACCACATTCTCAACTCTTCTTTGTATTTTTATTTAGAGACAGGGTCTCACTGAGTTGCTTAGGGTCTCACTAAATTACTGAGGCTGGCTTTAAACTTGCGATCTTCCTGCCTCAGCCTCCCTCATCTGGGATTACAGGCATGTGCCACCACGCCCAGCTAAACATTTGACGAATGTAATACTCTGAGATCAGGTGCATTAAACAGACTTTCCTTATGGTTTGACTTCCCAGGCTGGTCTGTCTGAAGTGGGAAAGGGGAACTAGATCATGGTACCAGATACCCAAGTTTATGAGAATTGTGGGGTTTTTTCCTCCTTGTCACTCACTGAATTGACATTGTGATTTAGGCATTCATTATATATTTGTTTTTTGTGTCACTTAGTCTGTGAGAGATAGTCTCCCTTGATGTACTGCCAAAACCAGCCCTGACAGATTGTAGGATATGAATAGAATATTAGCCAAGAAAGGTTAGGCTGTGCTGAGATATTAAATGCACCCTAAATCTCAGAGAGCTTAAGATAAGAAAGGATTAGTTTTTTTTATTTACATTAAGTCCAGAGAAGTTTGGTCAGCTCTTCTAGGCAACTTTCCTCTAAATAGTGATTCCAGTATAAGGCCTCCATCTTTATTGACCTTTAATGGATCACTCTTTTTTTTTCCTTGCTTGATCTTTTTGTGTGCATGCATAATTTTTTTTAGTTGTTGTACACAGTAGCATACACAAAATGTAAGTGTACAGACTGATTTTTTTCATTTCCTTTCATTTCCTAAAACTACTATTCAAATAGAAACAGACTTTTCTTCAGCCCTGAAGTTTC